GAAACAATCAGCCTTTATATGAGAGCTATAAGGAGCAGACATAAAGGGAGGGGAATCATTGTTTTAGGTTTTGCCTGTCCTCATAAAACAATAAACATGCAATCCGAATTCCAGTCCACAGTCTCCTTATTCAATCTAGAGGTAGTTCACATCACTGCCAGTCTTCCCTATTGGACCATTAAGTTGTATTTTTACTGATTCACAGTCTGTGGTCCTCTGAGACTAATACTAGACAGCCGATTAAGAGATGACTTGTCCCTGAAAGCACAGCCGGAGCAGAAGAGAGACACAGAGTCCTCTCCTAAGCTCAGGTAAGCAGTGTCCACAGCCTATATATAGATGTTTGCACTCTGGATACTTCCTGGAATTTGAATGATTATTTCTCTACATTGATTACTAGAGCAGTAGAAGTTTAAGCTTAGAGGAGTAACTTTTAATTGTTTTACGTTGACTGGTGAACCCCATATTACCAATATCAAATGATAGAGCAGAGGCGTGAATAACAAACCAAACATGATAATTTCCCCTATTCTGGACTGGCTTTCCCACATCATCTTCCCCCAAAGCAGAGCATCCATTTCATCCCTTTCATGTGTCATGGTTTAGCCTCTCACCAGAGGTATTTGGAAGGTCTAAGCATATCCATCACTGGCTACTGCAAGCCTCTGTGGAGCTTTCCCATCTCATCAACGACAGTTTGAAATAGGAAAGTTAAAGATCAGTTCTGCCGTGGTGTTTTGCTTTCCTCCCATGTGATTGTTTTGCTCAAGATCTAGTGTCTTGCCTCAGGGCTGTCCTCTCTGAACTCTTCAGCCCAGAGCTTCTGCCTGTGTTCTGTGTAAGTGCTGGGGAACAGGCTATGGCAATAGGAAGATAGACTATGGTGTAATATCACCAAATTTCAGCATAAAATTCAACCAGGTAAGACAAATCTAACCGTTGGGGCTTCTTCTGTAGTCAGTGTAAGGAGGGAGAGACCTGCAGAAAGCAAAACATGCTATTTTCCTTAAACTTATTTTACAATGGGATGAACCGTGTTTGGAAGTGTCCATTTCTTGCCAATGATAGCTAAAAAGATAGCTAAAAGAACCCAGCTAACTTTTAGATGCCTAAAAGTAGTTAGGATGAGTTTTCATGCATTTTGAGGGCTTCTCTGACCTCCAGAGCCTTTGAGGTCTGCTATTGTGCCAACACAAATTTCATGTCATACAAAGCTATCCTCATTCCATTTAGATGTTATTGGGGACTACTGGGAGGAATGTCTCAAGTTCAGAAGCAATAAAACTGTAGGACCTTACGTGCTTGCCTCTGGACATATGTAGAATCATAGAATGTTTTGGGTTGGAAAGAACCTTAAGATCATTCAGTTCCAGTCCCCTGCCATGGCAGCGACACCTCACACTAGACCATGCCACCCAAGGCTCTGTCCAGCCTGGCCTTGAACAATGCCAGAACATGGAAGCAGCCCTGCTGCTGTGCTGCTTGCTCCTGGGACTGCTGCACCGGCACGGGCAGGGCCCCCAGCCGTATCTCCAGGGCTTTCTGAGCCACGTGCATCTTCAGGGCTGAAGAGACTCTGCCAGCACACGTGGGGTCGAGGGAGCAAACAGACCTCACCTCCATAGGGGCTCCTTCATCTTCAGTCAGGAGCGTCACTGTCAGGTTCTTGGAGGGACTGATGCTCTCGGGGTAACTGGGGGAGCCGCAGCAGCTCAGCTCTCCCTGCTCCACCAGCTCCTCCAGGTCCTGCCATAGCGCCTGCCATGTGCCAGCATCCAGAGCGGCTGCAGCTCCTCTCCCAGCCCACGCTGACAGCACCAGCTCCTGCAGCTCCTGCACAGCCTTGATGCAGTTGGTGCAGCCGGGCCTGCAGCGCCATGGCCCGCACAGGGGGGACACAGCGTTACCTGCAAGGCAGGGAGGGGTTCTTGAGTGTCAGGGGGCCGCAACCGACCTGGGACCGTACACCCAGCCTGCTCCCCATGGGGCTGGGCTCCTCTGGGGGACCTGCCGGGGACTTACATGGCTTTGCTGCCCAAAATCGCCGCCTCCATCTGCGCTGTTGCTTGCCCTGGCCATCACCCTGTGGGCACAGCAGTGTGGCACAGTCACCCTCCTGGGGACAGGCACCACCAGTGCTGGAACCAAGTGGGCCCCATGGCCACAGGCGACCCCATCTGCGACGGCTGATGGCAAGCAGCATGGCCCCAGCAGCCAGGATCAGGATGCTGAGGCCCAGAAGAAAGCTGCTGTTGCCCATATGCACTGCCCGTGACAACCACATTGGGAGCTGTGGAACAGTGGCACTTGTTGCTGTGAAGTTAGAGCCTGCTGCTGAGAACAGCCGAGTGATGTCAGAGCCTGTAATGCTGTCACAATGGGGGTTGTGCTCAGGATGGCAGCTGTCAGTGGTGGGGTGTTAGTGTTCAATTTCCTGTGGTCCGTTTGTACAATCCCCGACTGGTTTGAGTTGCAAGGGACCTTTAAGCTCATCCAGTTCCAGGCCCCTGCCATGGGCAGGGACACCTTCCACCAGAGCAGCTTGCTCCAAGCCCCTGTGTCCAACCTGCCCTTGAACACTGCCAGGGATGGGGCAGCCACAGCTTCTCTGGGCACCCTGTGCCAGCGCCTCAGCACCCTCACAGGGAAGAGCTTCTGCCTAAGAGCTCATCTCAGTCTTCCCTCGGGCAGGTTCAAGCCATTCCCCTTGGCCTGTCCCTACAGGCCCTTGTCCAAAGCCCCTCTCCAGGTTTCCTGCAGCCCCTTCAGGCACTGGAGCTGCTCTAAGGTCTCTCCTTAAGGAGCCTTCTCTTGTCCAGGCTGACCCAGCCCAGCTCTTTCAGCCTGACTCCAGAGTAGAGCTGCTCCAGCCCTCAGGGAAGGGAAGGCACAGGGAGGACTTTATCTCTCCGGACAGCTGCCTGACAGGAGGATGGAGCCAGGAAGGGGCTGGGCTCTGCTCCCAAGGAACAAGGGATGGGACAAGAGTCAACGGCCTCAAGCTGCACCAGGGCAGGTGTAGATGGAGAAGAGGAACAATTCCTTCCCCAGAGGGTGCTCAGCCATTGGAACAGGCTGCCCAGGGTAGGGCTGCAGTCACAGTCACACACCGCCGACTCGAGGCCTCAGTGCCATGGGTTAGTGGTGGTCTTGAAGGTGCTGGGGGAGCAGTTGAACTTGATGATCTCAAGGGACTTTTCCAACCTGATTGATTCTATGGCCTATGATTCTATGAACCTTGTATGCTTTTACAGATAGCACTGTCTATGGAGGAGATCACCTCAGAGACTTCAGCCCCAAGGCAGCAGAAACGACCTGAGAAACACCAGCACAGTTAGCATCCCCAAAATCAGTAGTTTTGGGAAGGGAAAACCTTTAATTTGTGATGGCAATTGGTTTAATGACTTCGCTGATGTTGGAGTACAGGCCTGCTGAGAGGCTTGCAGTGGGTCATCCTGTAACTTTTGCCTTCTCCTACTGCTAGACAAGGCCTCTTATTTAGTCTCGTTATGGATACCATGCTCTATCTTTACATATGCCTGCTCTAGTTTTCCTGACACCTTCCTCTGGTGCTTCTGGTGATGGTTATTTGACAGGGAGAAGGGACAAGAGACAAAGTTGAAGGGTATTTCTTACAGCAGAACAGTTTGGACCACAAAATTAAAAGGGAAAGACAAGATTTTGGCTTTAAAGATGCTCTGTCTCCTTTGGCTTGTCGTGGTTTAAACCCAGTCAGCCATACCTCTAGGAATGCCTTTTTGGCTAGTTTGTGTCAGGTGTCCTGTCAAAAACACAGCGCTGCACCAGCTACTAAGGAGAAAAAAATGCTACTGCTGAACCCAGACAGGCTGTATGCCTTAAATGTCACAGGGACTTGTTCTTGCTTTCTTTTCAAGCATTGGTTTATTTAGACTTTGAAGTCCATTGGAAAAGGACTTTCTGTGGGCTTCTCTAGGCTTGAATTATTCCATAACATTATTCCATATTTTCCATATTCAATTATTCTGTAACAGTAGTCATCAAAATATGTCTACGTAAGAAGGTTGATCAGGCTTTGGAGAGGCCTTCTCCCTCTGGAGTCAGTGGGGGATTCAGACATGAAATTAGAATTCCAGTGGCATCCAACAGCATGCAGATTTGGGGTGTAATGTCCCTGAGTAACAAATAAACCCACACAACAGAAAGGAGGATGCCCAGTGGTTCATGACTGAGAAAGCTAGGGGTTGGGGAGAAAACCCACCTGTGCTATATCAGTGTGAGTACAAAGCACATCTTTAAAAAGGTTCGTTTAATTGTCAGAGGAAGTTCAGGAGGTCAGAAAAAACTCTGCATCTAGCCTGGGTTACCTAAAACCTAAGGTTCTGCCTCTGAGCTACACAAAGGAAAAGCCTTCTCTGATACTCATGTCTGATTGTGCCCTACTGAAATCAGAGTCCATGAGGACCCAGAGCTGGACTGAAATGCAGCAGGCATTAGAAGGGGCAGAAAACAATTACCAAGGGAGCAAAGCAGGTTATGGGTCATGTGAGTATTGGGGCTGTTCAGCCTGGAGAAGGGAAGCTGCATGGAGACCTCAGAGCAGCTTCCAGTGTCTGAAGGGGGCTATTAAGACGCAGGAGAGGGACTCTTCTTCAGGGACTGCAGTGACAGGACAAGGGGTGATGGGTTCAAACTGAAACAGGGGAAGTTCAGGTTGGATATAAGGAAGAAGTTCTTTACTGTGAGGGTGCTGAGGCGCTGGCACAGGGTGCCCAGAGAAGCTGTGGCTGCCCCATCCCTGGCAGTGTTCAAGGCCAGGCTGGACAGAGCCTTGGGTGACACGGTCTAGTGTGAAGTGTCCCTGCCCATGGCAAGGGGTTGGAACTGGATGATCTTAAGGTCCTTTCCAACCCAAGCCATTCTATGATTCTACGTAGCAGGGATAAGAAAATGCTCAGAGCACAATGGGATCAATATTAGTTGTAGACAGCTGCACCCTTTATTGGAGAAGATGGCAGTTTTGTTTGCTAACCAACAAAACAGATACTGAGAGATCTCCAGGTTTGCAGAGAAATCACAGTAGCAGCTCATGTTTGCAACATAGCTTAAATGTTTGCACGCTCCAAAGATAATTAGAAAACCCTTCAGATGCAAAATACATTTTAAACTTTACATAAAGCTCTTAATTTTTCTCACAGTTCTCTAACTCTTCTTTCTTCTTTTCTTCTTTCTTGTCACGATGGTATTGGCATTTCCCACTTGTATTTTAAATGAACTGCCAGTGAGGCAGGCTAAAGCCACAGTGTCTTGATATTGTCTCTGGCTTTAAGGCCAAATCCCAAATGTTGTTTAGAAAGTTATGTGTATGCAAGGTCTTTTTGTTTAGGTGTTGTTGAATTTAGCACATTTATTATTTCATCTCAGTCTGGGACAATTGCAGGTAGAGAAATAATGACATTTGAGCATTGCTTCAACTCACAGAGCTCAATGCAATACCACCAATCCCTGAAAAGCCTTTAAATAGAGAGGGATTTGGGTCTATTCATTGCCCTTCTCAGGGCACGCTTCATGTCCTTGTTCCTGAGGCTGTAGATGAGGGGGTTCAGCATTGGGGTTACAATGGTGTAAAACACTGCAACCACTTTGCCTCTATCCTGTGGAGACCTTGACTTGGGATTCATGTACATGCAGATGGCTGTCCCATAGAATATGGTTACCGCTATCAGGTGGCATCCACAGGTGGAAAAGGCCTTAGATTTCACATGTGCAGACTGCATCTTCAAGATGGTGGAAAGGAGGTAGGAGTAGGAGATGATGATCAGAAGAAAGGGGATGCAGGCAATGAGGATGCTGAAGATGAAGATGACCAACTCCAGGAGGGCAGTGTCAGCACAGGCCAAGGCCAGCACTGCTGGCACTTCACAGAAGTAATGGTTCAAGGTGTGAGGTCCACAGAAGGGTAGATGCAAAGCGAGGCTGTTGACTACCATGGAGCTCAGCAGGCTGCTGGCCCAGGAAGCCATGACCATGTGAATGCAAGCCTTCCGGTTCATGACAGTGTTGTAGAGCAAGGGGTGACATATTGCCATATATCGATCATAGGCCATGACCCCAAGCAGGAAACACTCTGTCATGCCAAAAGCCAGAGAGAAATACATTTGAGCAGCACATCTAGAGAAGGAGATGGTCCCCTTCTTGGTCAAGAGGTTCACCAACATCTGGGGAATGTTGCTGGAGACGTAGCAGATGTCTAAGAAGGACAGGTTGGCAAGGAAAAAGTACATGGGTGACTGCAGCTGGCAATCAGCTCTGATCACTGCAATGACCATGATGTTACCAACAATTGTGAGCAGATAAAATAACAGAAACACTAGGAAAAGAACAGTCTGTGTCCCTGGCTGGGAGGAGAGGCCTTGTAAGATGAACTCTGTCACTACGCTTTGGTTTTCCTTGGCCATTATTATTCTAGTGGTTTTAACTGTCAAGATAAGAAATAGTAACAAAGTCAACTCAAATCTTTCGCAAGATAAGAGTAACGAGGTTTGAAGGGGAGAGAATGTGGAAAACAAGGTACAAGACACAACGTACCAGCTATTTTATATGTCACGGTGACCAGAAAAACGAGAACACGTTGAGAAAGTTTTCTCACGGTACAGTTAGCTGAACCCCTGTTCATGTTGGTTGCAGTCTAAGGACACAGATTTAACAGAAGAAGCCTAATTTATACACATTTTAATGCCCAACAAAGTTATTATGCTCTTTAGAAATCAAAACTCAATGTTAGATCAAAAAATTATGTGTTAAAATCCCGGTTCTTACTATCCTTTCTTAATATGGGAAGAAACATGGAATAGACTTCTAGAGTGAAACAGTCCTTCAGAGAGTCTCATCATGACACACATCTTCTCTTTTGGACAAATATCCATACAGCTGTATCCTTTTCCTGCAATAAAGCCAAAATTCATCATACAGACCACATCTAGCAAACTAAAGATGTCCAACCACCTTAATGCGTATTTAGGATCTTCTGGCATTCTCATCACTATTGCTTCTAATGTTCATATTTTGTCTTTACGCTGTACTTTCTAGGATGTTTTAAGGCTTTACATGAAAGTTTCTGAGTAATATATGGTCACATTTGTTGGATCCTAAATCTTCGTGAAGTAAAAGGCGAGTACCAGATGGTCTGCATTAGTAATGCTGTGGAAGACACTCTTAAATGTCACTCAGTATGCTGCATGGTATCTGAGACATCTGAAGGCAGCCGTCATGTTTGATGCAGGGATGCTGCAGGGGTTGTGCTCCTCTGGAATCAGAATTGGATAAATGACAGGTCACACTAGAATGTCTCAAGTGGCACCCGACTGTTACAGCTGAACAAATTACTTGGATGCCTAGTTGATACAGTCAGCGGACTCTGAAGGGTGATTCAGATCACCAGCTAGTTGGTGGTAACTTCATCTCAGCTTCTCAGCTGTTTCTGAGAACCTGAGCAGCCTTCTGGACTTAACCCTGGCACCTGATTTATTCCTCACTCATGACGGAGATTTAGATGTATGGTTTACAGATACACGCTTATGTGTAGGTGCCTAAATCTGACGCCTTAAGCTGAAACTGAATCCTATCCCGTGTTTTTAAGACAAAGTAGAGTCTCACAACCTGAATGAGCAATAATGCTGTCAAGCAAAAGTATTGCAAAACGAAGCGTCTTTCCAAAACAGAAACTATTCTGGAAGGGAGGTTAAGAAATAATCCTAAAAAGCTCAATTCAAGGAGGCACTTTGCGTCAGCCCAAAGCTACTGTCTCAGGTAGGAGAGATAGCTATCACCCCAGTCCATACAATCGGATAACTCTGTCTGCACTGCAGCCCAGACTGCTCAGCACCCATCTCCTGGTCAGTCACAGCAGGCACGTCCCTCCTGTCCTGAAAGGAAGGATTAAGGTACCAAAGCATTGGTGCTTCTTGTCAATTCAGGCACTGTTGATATCCAAGATATCTGTATGGTACCAGCAGGTAGGATAAAAGCTGCAAAAGACTTGCATCAAGCAGCTTTTCACTGGCACCTGTGCAAATGTGGCAACGGCTGACACGGAAACACCTACATTTCAGAGAGATGGGCCTGATCCCTGATGTCTAATGAGATTAATTGAATTCTCATTCAAGACACGATCTTGCTAGACTAGGTGGACTCTATCAGTTATGATGCCTACAGCAAGAACCTGAATAATATGAAATCCAGCATCCTGCTTAAAATGGATGTAGAACTTGAGAGAAGTCTTTCATTTGAGCAGATACATACACAACCATTTTAAAGGCTGTGCCAGCATAAAAAGCTACACTGAATTTCTGATTCTGTTCAGGCATGTATAACACACGTAACTACACTGCTTAGGCAAAGAACAATGAAATTTTGCCTTCTGTAAACCAGTCATGGTAATGTTTCTGATGAATATCGTACTGCATGAAACAACATGCTTCAGGATCTGAAAACTGCAGGCCTCTGGGAAGGAGAAGGGAAATTCAATATAAATAGTATAAATAACTAGAGTAGGATTTTATATAGGGTTTAGTTTTAAAATACTTTGGAGTATCTAGGACAAAGAGGCATCTAGAGGCACCATCCAAGACATGAAAAGTTCTATGGACTTGAGATCTGTGCTTCCAGATCACTTACCTACTTCTGAAAATCCTCTCCTATTTTTGATGTTAGTAGATAGTGCAAGCTCTGAACTTTACATCTTTCGATCTCAAAGCAATTTGAAGGTTGAGGGTTCTATAGGTTTTATAGGTGGGAAAAAGACAAAAATAAGCTAAGGACTTTGCTCAAGGTTGAAAGAGGATTCTTAGAGAAAACATTATCACAGCTTCTCTATCAGCAGGACAAATGTATCTTGGACCTAAGTGAATTCTCATATAGATCAAAATACCTTGAAATCATCCTGACTCGTCTTTGTTCAGGATTTGTAAATTAAAGAATGTTTTTTCTGTACCTGCAAACGTCCTTCTGCAAGAAGGCTGAAACTCATCCAATAATGGGAATACTGACAGCAGAATCCACAAAAGAGTATTGCAGACACCCTCCCCAGTCTCAAGCAATGATAGATGTTTGTAGATAAAGAAACGAATGTGGAGCGCCTTGGTCCTTCGCGACGATTTAACTCACTCAAAGCGATAGCACAGTAGTGGAAGAACTGAAATTACATTTCAGATATTCCCTTTTGAGACACCCTAACTAATTTTAAAGGCCAAAGGGAAGTAGTCCCAGAGGTAACATTGCAATTACTTCTAATAAGCACAAGCCCAAGTATAGTTTAAAGTCACAAACAATTATAGTCGTATTAAAAGTTGTTAAAATTGCCCATTCTCTGTTCAAGACTTGCTGCAGTGGGTGTTACACTTCAAATCTCAAGAGACAAAATATTTTAGTAGATTTGTGGAGTTTTAAGAGGGTTGTCTAAACATGGAATTTTACCCAGTCACTCCTGTTTTGTGCCAAATGACTTCTGTGAGGGTGAAGCACACCAGCGCTCTGATTTTGGTCTGAAGATATCAGGAAATGCAGAATCTGATACATCTCATTAGGTGGAATCCTCCCCAGACGTCCTGAAGTTAGTTATCTAGATCTAAGCTACTCACGTTCTGTGTAGTTAACTGGTAAATAGCCATTTTCAGAGCACAAGAGAAACACTTCCTCCACATTCAGCACAGAAGAATCAGCATTTCTAGAGAGTGACTGATCTCTCTGTTGGGAAGAAGGAGGAGAAATACCTGTATTGGTCAACTGACTTGGCAAGGGCCGGTGGGGTGAGAAGGTAGTGCTGGAACGGGAAGGCTAGACAGTTTCCCCTAGCACCAGGTATTCAGCAAATATAGAATCATAGAATCATAGAATAATTAGGCTTAGAAAGGACCTTTAGATCATCTAGTTCCAACCTGCCTGCTATGGGCAGGGACACCTCACGCTAAATCATATCACCCAAGGCGTCGGCCAACCTGGTCTTGAACACTGCCAGGGATGGAGCATTCACAACCTCCCTGGGCAACCTATTCCAGTGCCTCACCACCCTCACAGGAAAGAATTTCCTCCTTATATCCAATCTAAACTTCCCCTGTTTAAGTTTTAACCCGTTACCCCTTGTCCTTTCACTACAGTCCCTAATGAAGAGTCCCTCCCCAGCATCCCTATAGGCCCCCTTCAGATACTGGAAGGCTGCTATGAGGTCTCCACGCAGCCTTCTCTTCTCCAGGCTGAACAGCCCCAACTTTCTCAGCCTGTCTTCATACGGGAGGTGCTCCAGTCCCCTGATCATCCTTGTGGCCCTTCTCTGGACTTGTTCCAACAGTTCCATGTCCTTTTTATGTTGAGGACACCAGAACTGCACACAATACTCCAGGTGAGGTCTCACAAGAGCAGAGTAGAGGGGCAGGATCACCTCCTTCGACCTGCTGGACACGCTCCTTTTGATGCAGCCCAGGATACGGTTGGCTTTCTGGGCTGCAAGCGCACACTGAAGCCGGCTCATGTTCATTTTCTCATCAACCAACACCCCCAAGTCCTTCTCCGCAGGGCTGCTCTGAATCTCTTCTCTGCCCAACCTGTAGCTGTGCCTGGGATTGCTCCCACCCAGGTGCAGGACCTTGCACTTGGCATGGTTAAACTTCATGAGGTTGGCATCAGCCCACCTCACAAGCGTGTCGAGGTCCCTCTGGATGGCATTCCTTCCCTCCAGGGTATCAACCGAACCACACAGCTCGGTGTCATCGGCAAACTTGCTGAGGGCGCACTCAATCCCACTGTCCATGGCAGCGACGAAGATGTTGAACAAGATCAATCCCAACACCGATCCCTGAGGGACACCACTCGTTACTGGTCTCCAGCCGGACATGGAGCCATTGACCACAACTCTTTGTGCGTGGCCATCCAGCCAGTTCTTCATCCACTGAGTGGTCCATCCATCAAATTGATGTCTCTCCAATTTAGAGACAAGGATGTCATGTGGGACTGTGTTGAACGCTTTACCCAAGTCCAGGTAGATGACATCAACTGCTCTACCCCTGTCCATCAGTTCTGGAGCCCCATCATAGAAGGCCACCAAATTGGTCAGGCAGGATTTCCCCTTAGTGAAGCCATGCTGGCTGTCACCAAGCACCTTGTTGATTTTCATGTGCCTTAGCATGGCATCCAGGAGAATCTGCTCCAAGATTTTGCCAGGCACAGAGGTGAGACTTACTGCTCTGTAATTCCCTGGATCATCCATTTTACCCTTCTTGAAAATGGGGGTTATATTTCCCTTTTTCCAGTCATCGGGAACTTCACCTGACTGCCATGATTTCTCAAATATGATGACCAGCGGCTTCGCAACTTCATTCGCCAGCTCCTTCAGGACCCACGGATGGATCTCATCAGGACCTATGGACTTGTGCACGTTCAGATTTTTAAGACTGCCTCGAACCAGTTCCTCTCCTA